GAGATGTTCCCCTAAAATTCATGGACAGTTGACTTGTATGGAATAAAAAAACTAAGTGGTGGACACTATGCAAACAAAAGGAGCTAAGGCAACACTTTCCACAGCGTTCATTCACTACGGCAGAACTACGCCTGCCGGACTGACACCCCATAGCAAAAAAGAATGTGAAAATAACAAATATATGGTATTATTAAATTGTCAATTATTGGACATTCTCAAAACTAGCAATGTGAACCACAGTTAAACGACTTCCAAATCCACACCCTTGAGGTAGTAGTCATCGGCTTCTTCTTACCTAGGTTATTTCAGAACTAAATCCAGGAGGTAGTTCTGTCCTTTAAACTCTTACAGGTGTGTTTAAAGGAATGCCTGGCTGGCTTAGTGAGTTAATACTGAGGAAATTAGGTTAAAAGCTAACACCTTATCACGTTTTCTCTCTTTTGACCCCTTATTAATTTATTCTAATTTTTTAATATTTTAGATTTTAGATTGAGGTTGTTCTATGCTTTGTTTTGTTATTGTTAAAGATGGTTTTTTTCTCTAATTTGAAATACAGAATAGGTCAATCTATAGCAGTTTTTTAGTGTGACAGCTGGGGAGGTTTTGTGGTCCTGGGGAGATAATGAGTACAAGAATGAGGAAGATATTCTCAAATTGATTGTGGTGAAGACTGGCACAACTCTTTAATACGTTTAAAACACTGAATTGCTTGGTATGCAAATTACATGTCAATAAAACTGTTTAATTAAAAAAAATTACAGGTAGAAAGAGAAATACTGTATGATTCAGAAATCTGAAACCTAGCTACATGCCCTAAAGAAATGCAAGCCTTAACATGAAGAGACATATGGACATGGGTGAAATATGAAAACCGCTTACGGCCCATCAATAAATAACTGGACCAAAAAGATCTGTGGCACAAAGATGAAATAGAATACCACGCCACAATAAGGAATAAAGATCAATTTGTGAAACATCGCACATGGGTGAATTTGGAAGACATTGTGCTCAATGAAACAAATCAATGACAAAGGGGCAAATATTTCATGAGACCACTATATTTTTTAAAGTGAGCAAACAATACAAAAGGTTTATACGCATTTTTAGAACAATATTCTTTGATGGTTACAAGAGATGAGAGGGGAAGGGAAGCGAAATTATAACCCGGACAGATCACATATGTTAGTAACATGGAGGAAGTCAGCCCAAACTGACCAAGGTAAAGGAAGACACTGAGAGGCATGTAAAAAGGAAAGGCAGCTACCATACGGGGGTGCTGTGGATTACACAGTGGCCTGCTAACCACAAGATCAGTGGTTCAAACTCACCAGCTGCTCCTCAGGAGAAAGATGAAGCTGTCAGCTCCCATGAAGAGTTGAAGCCTGAAACCTTATGTAGGGGCCCTATGAGTCAGAATTCATGCAATGGCAGTGGAGTTTTTTGGCTTTAGTTTTCGGTACAGTGATTATGATAACATAGACAATCTTGCAGGAATAGTATCAACAAACAATTTTCAATGATTCCATAAAGTAGGCAGATATGCTAAAGAGGGTTGGAGGTGTAAGTGCATACACACCTGTAGCTGTGGATTTGGCTGTGACTGTACAGACACATTGTAGGTGCTGCGTGTCTCCTGAGACTAAGGGGGCGCATGAAGGGCACAGGATGGACAGTGCTTTTCTCCCTGCCATGGAGGGAGTCCACTGGACTCAGAGCAACCCATCGGACAGGGGGGAACTGCCCCGTGGGTTTCCAGGACGAAGAATCTTAACACAGGGTCAGAAAGCCTCCTCTTTGTCCTGCAGAAAGATGACTTGGCGGTGTAGCATCTCAGCAAGCGACCATTACACCACCAAGGTTCCTTTCACGTTTGGGGATCTAGAAAGACACCACTTGGGGTCCTGGAGCTTGCTTAAACATAAGAAAACAGCTCACAGGAGACGTTCCCAGACCCCAAAGGAGAGGCCCAGAACCTCCGCAGGTCTGCGTTCATGGACTCAGTGCAGTTCCCACAAAGAGCGGTCTACGTCCTCCTTCAATGAGCAGCATTTGAGTCTTAAAATCATCTAAGACACAACTGTCGGTCTTTTCTCCTCGGGATCAAATGAATAAAAGCAAAGACTGAAAGGAGCAATGAGTCGAAATGACGAAAAGACCACAACCCGTAGTGCCCAGCTACCGCTACAGACCCCTTGGACTGGGGTCACCAGGCATAGCCTCAGGCAGAGAGGGAGAATAATGTTGAACAAGAAATCAAATTCACCAAAAAACAAATAAACTTGCTGATTTGGGGGGTGGGGGGCAGCTGCGCACCTGTAAGACACCATTCTGACCCGGAATGAAGCCATTCCTGGAGGGGACCAGCCTTTCACCCAAATAACAGACATGGCCATAAAATAAATTATAATACACAATAGAGCAATCAATTCACCAAGTTTACGAAAGCAAAAGGGCAACATTCACCCAAAAGGAAAGACGAGACTGCAGGAAGGGACAGGGAGTTTTGGCAAAAGGAAACCGAGAATCCAGGACAGCAATTTGAGAAATGCTGGCACACTGTGGAGACTGTGCCGGGTGCCACGGGAGACTTTTAGAATAAACTATCCACTGAGGATCTCACTTGCTCTGTAAGCTGTCCACTGAACCACCATTAATGTAAACAAACAACTAAATGGCTCTTTTAGTCACAACTGATTACAGAAACAGAATTTTAGAGTTACTTTTTTAAAGTCTGTTGTTGGAGAAGATAGTTTAATATGACTCTCATTTGATAGGAGGGAAAACTCAAGCTCAAAAAGAATGACTCATCTCCACGTAAAAGTTCAGTTAGCAGCAAAGTCTGCAGCAACGATACCTGGTATTTCTCTATCAGAAGGAAGGGAGGGGATATATTGGTTGTGCTTTGCTTTGGAAGTCTTGCTTTGGAAGTCATCTTTAGGGGCTGGATTTATTACTAAAAAAGTGTACTTTCTGGATGATGTTTATATAGGATATTGGTGCTAAGAGAGGCAAATGAGAGATGCTAACTGTCCTGTAGAAAGATGTTCCAAGGAGCCAAGACTGTTCAAAGAGCAGCATTACAGATAACCGGGAAAGTGCTATGGAAAGCTTCCACAATTAGGAGGCAATATTCATTCACTATCACACAGAAGAGTTAAAACAAGCACACCAATGCGAGAAGGAGTCTGGCTATTAAGAAGAGAATTTAAATGAAAGATTAAAACAGTAGCTCTCTTGTTTCAATATTAATGTGAGGGGCAGGAGTGAAATGAAATACCTGCTCCCGGAGTTTAAGCTGTGGAAGTTACTAGAAGAGTCAGGGGTTCTACTAGACTTTTGAAAAGCAGTTGTTTCCACAAGACTCTGGCATTTAGAAACTCTAAGAACTAAAATCATCTATCATTATCAAGTGAATTAATTTATGACAGTTCTTCACTATTAATAATCCCAAATAGCTGAAGACACTCGTCCAAAAACCTATAAAATATATGTCTGAGTAACTAAACAGAAATTACAAAAACTCCAATTAGCTTGATAAAGACTTGATTATAAATGGTCTAATGCAGTGGTTCTCAGTCTGTGGGTCGTGACCCCTTTGGGGGTCGAAAGACCCTTTCACAGGGGTCACCAAATTCATAACACAATTATAGTTATGAAGTAGCAACAAAAATAACTATGGTTGGGAGGACACCACAGCATGAGGAACTGTATAAAAGGGTCATGGAATTGGGAAGGTCAAGAATCACTGGTCTAATGCATTAACCCTTAAGGTACTCCTCTGACAACTTTCCAATAAAGCACAATGATCTAGAAATGAACATCTTATGTTCATTATCATTTTCCAGTACTTAAAACATAGAATATGAATTTTTAAAATACTGCCATAGAGAGTGTATTCAAAACTACTAAGTATTGGTTTGATTTGAATTACATCTTAGATTAATGTGTATATCTTAATCCTTTTTTGTTAAAAGTGAAGAATCTTGGTGTAATGATGAGAATGAGAGGCCAATAGCTTCATTATAGCCGAGATTTGCATTACATAATTAAGTATTATGTAATTACTGTGTGTCACAGAACAGTATTTTGCCTGGAATATTTACCTGAATAGTTATACATACATGGAATTATTAAGACCTTAGATATTTGTGCAATGCTTAACAATTAATAAAGCATTTCCAAATATATGTATGCAGTAGGGGAAGGGTTTCAAAACATTCTTGAAAAATTCTTTTAGAGCCTCTTTGTATACATACATATACAAATACATTATGTAATGATATACATCGTGTAATCTGACATTTTTGTGTACTGCATATTTCATATGCGTGATTACCCATTCTTCATTCATATAGAACGATTATGCATTCTTCATTGATGATGAAACCATGCTCTAGGAAACTGGGTGGCACGAAACGAATTCAGAAATGAACTCGGATCTCTAAACTTGACATTTAGGTCCCTCTTCTACATGATTTAGCTGTAAGTCCCCATGACTGGTCTTTACTCCGTATAATCGTGACTTCCTGAGTAACACAAACATTGTCTCTGCAGCGACCCTCCTAACCCGGAAAAGTGGAACGTCAGACCAGATTTCAACGATACCTGGGCACTTGGAGATGGCGGAAATACATCTCCTGGCTATCGCCTTTGGGGGCTTACATTTAGTATCTCCTTAAAATAATCTTTCTTTCAAAAGTTTTACTTTCAAAACAAATATTCTGCCATATACTTTTAAGTGGTGTGTGAATAGAGAGTCGTTTTGCATTTCTTATAAAGGGCAAATTATTAGCATGGATCAATGAAAGGATGTGCCAGCAGTGAAGTGCGGAGAGCCCTGCATCCATATCAATGTAACCGAAATAGAGCTCTTTTTGTCCAGATGCCAGCCAACACCACGCTGTTCACAGTGGTCAAGCTAGAGATGCGCTAGCACCGCTTTCTTGCCCGGCACTTGTTTCCCCTGGTCGGGACCACACACACAGTCCGTCCAGTCTCACCTCGCGGTCTCCTTCCACTCCATCTCCTGCCCATCCACCGCCAGCAGTTCATCCAATTCAGTGAAGAGCTGAGGGGGTGCCGGGCTGTCATCCTCCTCTCCCAAGATGAATCGAATGCGCTCGGCTGCGGGAGAGACTGCAGAAGTGAAAATACTGCGGTTAAACACCGGCTGGACAACTCTGAGCAAAGTATAGCTTCTGGCTTTTCCTCCCTCTGCAGGGCTGTTGGGCTTCCCGTCCACATTTTCAGTGGACATCCTTCTTCCTGAGTCTCCCCTCTCCAACAACTTGAACTTGAAAAGAAATCAAATCCCTTCTCTATTCCCTTGGTCCTCTCTAGTGCTAACCCAAAGGACAGGGCTCCAGGCCTGTGTAGTGTGTGACAAAGAACCTTTAGTCCTCAGAGAGGCTGAGGTCCAATCACAGAACTTTCCCTCCTTCCTCACTCAGGACCCATCCAAAATTATCTGAACAAAAGCAATGTGAACCAATCACTTTTTCTTAGAAGAGTGGGAGTGCACGAGAGCACCCCAATCATGAGTTTCCCCCAAGCCTCCGCCTCCCACCCACACTCACTCCGGCCAATGGCTAATGCCTAGGGCCTCACAGGCCCCTAACTGGTTAACGACAGAGTTGATGAAGGAATATTTAACAAGATCAGGCCTCTTCTTTATATAATGGCAGTATCCAAAAATGTTTAGTCACACTTCAATGCTCTTGAAAAACAAGCTCAAGTAAAATATTGTACACCTAAGTTTAAAAAAAAAGTTTTCCAACACACTCAAGCACATAATTGAATGCCCTACTAGCGCCTTTTGACCCCAATGCCTGAAAATCATGTAATGAAAAATTAACTAGAATTTCCCCCCAGGACATGGATTATAGTCTCTTTAAAACAGTAACATAAAAAGCATTTGGACACTGATGGTCAACATTTAAAAACTAAGACCCAAAGATAACTCTTCTTAATCCTTGAGTAAAACCAAGAATGGCATATACATGTGCATGGAGTCCATGTTCACATATACATATACATACACACAAGTCTACTTGTACATATATGCATATAAACTTGTAAGTACCTAGGTACCCTCCCCAAAAATAAACCTTAATAAAAACAAGAAAACATCTACCTTATAAAAACAGGCCAGAGCACTATTCCATTAGTCAAAATTTTACTGAACATAAACACAAAAAATATTCTGCCTAGCTAGCCATAAAAATTCATTATTAAAAAAAGATACTCGTCCTGTCTATTAAGAGTGACAACATTTACAAATAATGATAATAGCCAATGTTTGTAAAGGTGAGGGAAACATGCATGAGCACCTCTCAATTTATAATTTGGTAGCTGCCCAAATGGGAAACCCATTCTGTGGAGTACTGTGGATAGAGATGGAGATAGTTTTATAGTGTATGTATCCTTTAAGCTAGCAATTCTACTATAAGAAACAGTAATTTTAAATAACTAATAACTACTATCCCAAAGACTTAGTTTTGATAAACATCATTTATCAAATTACATACTGAGAACAAATTTTTGAAAGCCTAATTGTCTGAAAATGAAAATTTGGTTAAATACACCGAAATCATAAAATGCAATGCAATCATCAAAAAGGAAATCCATATGCTTTGTGGCACTTATCCCATATACTACTAACTGAAATAAAAAGTTGTGAAATCATATGCACAATTGCGTTAGTTAGTTAGTTTATTGTGCCAACCTGGCTGATAAACACATGTGGGGTTAATTGAAAAGTGGAGAGATAAATGGCTCAGTGAGCCTCACCTTTCTAGTTCTCAGGTCTCTTGCTTTGTGATGGTTGGATCAGGGTACAGCTGCCTTAGCCAGTTCCCTGCTTTAGCTGGCAAGGCTCACTTCCTGCAAGACATCTCTGAGGAGAAGCCCCATGGACCTACCCCGATGCAGCCCTGGGTGCTGGAGCAGCTGTGTGGAGACCCCTGCCAGCACTGAGATGTTTACACATTCACTGACTCAGCTTTCCTCCTGCAGTCGGCATCATTGCACATGAGTTTCTGTGGGTTTGTTTCTCTAAAGTACCCAGACTCACGCAACAATATAAACCCCACTTTGGAAAACAAAACTATATATAAATATTCACAAAATAAAGTCTGGAATTGAGACAGTCTTCCCTTACTTTGCCCAGTTCCGGACGTGTAAATTTCAGGTAACCTTAGTTCAGTTCTGTCCAGTCTGCCAACAGCCCAGTTATAATGTCAATTCTTAGGCACCCCTGGGGCCACAGTGGTTATGAATCAGGCTGCTAACCAGAAGGTCACAGTTCGAAACCTCCAGCCTCTCTGAGGGAAAAAAACTCTTTCTATTCCAAGAAAGAGTTACAGTCACAGGAAACTCATAGGAGCAGTTCTACCCTGTCCAATAGGGTCACCATGAGTCAAAATGGACTGGACTGGGAAGGGGTTCCGTTTTTTATGGTTTTATGTTCATTGTTAGTGATGCATCAAGTACAAATTTCACTGCTAGCTTTTCCATCTAAAAATCACCTCATAAATAACATCTGTGTATTATGACCATTTTAAAAGCTTAAAAAAATACTGATTCCCCTTCGAGGGCGATGGTCCTGACAAAAGTCAGCGTTTTTTCACTCACTCCCTGACATCGAGTTGATGCCGACTCATAGCGCCCCCTGTGGGTTTCCAAGCCTGTAACTATTTATGGGAGTAGAAAGCCCAGTCTGTGTTTCTCCTGCAGAGGCACTGGTGGTTTTGAACTGCTGACCATGCTCATCACAACCCTACACATAACCACCAGGGCTCCTATTTCATAGGCATATAAAAACTGGAAAAAGGACACTGAACCTCACCGAAGAATAATTGATCCATGGTGAGTGTACTTTTGGTGAAGAATATCGAATATTCATAGACTTCCAGGAAAATAAACAAATTTATATTTATATTGAGAAGTGCCACCAGGATGCTCTTTAGAAGTGAGGATGGTAAGACTTCCTCTGGCTTCCTTTGACTATGTTCCCAGGAGAGGACCAGCACCTTGAGAAGGATGTCTTCTTGGTAAAGCAGAAGACCCTCGGTGAGAGGTACACTATTCTGTTCTGCTGTCTATAAACCCACTGCCTGCAAGTCAATTCCCACTCATGTGGTCCCTACAGTAAAGAGCAGAGCCGCTCCCTGGGGTTTCTGAAGTTATAACCCTTTAAGGGAGCAGACAACTCTGCCTTTTTCTCGTGAAGCAACCGGGAGCTTTGAACTGCTGACTTTGATGTTAGTTAACAGCTCAACTCTCATAATCTACTATGCATAACCCACTACGCAAGCAGGGCTCCGTTATATGTGCAGGTATTGTGAAATGGAGTCAACCGGATGATGGATAACTACAGAAACAATCATGATTAGTGACCAATCACTGCACGTCTTCCAAAGACGGTCAGTAATTAGTCACTGTGTATTCCTTATTCCTCTCACGGGGAGAGCAGAGCATGTAGTTGTGTTGTTTCCTATCTCCCAGTGACAACACTACATGATATTTTGTCCTCCCCCTCCCCAAATGAATAATCCAAAGAGAAAAATAATTGTCCAATGTAGGTGCAGCAAGGAAACAAAATATGATACCACTGAAACTGAAATTTTAAAAAACATGGAGTTACAGAAGACAGAGCTGACCATGAGAGTTGACACTGTCATTGTTTAAAACCCTAACTATGCAGCCAGAAGAACTCAGTGAAAGTGGATTTATCAACATAAATGAGGAATGTGGACGTGAGAAACAGATGTAGATGTCCTAGTATAACTGACAGTGGGGGTGGGGGGTGGGATGGGGAGTGGGGGTGTGTAGAGAAGGACTTCACATTAAAAAACAAAAAATTCTAGGATAAATTTCATGACATTGAAAGGGTAAAGGATAAAATGTTGGAAGCTAATCCAAACTTTTCAAAGAACTTCATGTCATAACCTTGATCATAATATCAGGAGGGACCAGTCCCTGGAGAAGGACATCAGAGTTTGGAAAAGTAGAGGCAGACCCTCAGCCCGGTGGGCTGACCACAGCAGTGGGCTCAAACAGCAGTCATTCTGAGAAGGACGCGGGACCAGCAGTGTTTTGTTCTGTTGTCTCTGGGATCCCGGTGACTCCGTCTGACTACACGTCACAACATGACAATGTATATAAAAGATGCTGGCTCCATATCATAGTTACCCAACTAAAAGAATGAGAAAGCGATTCAAACTAATCTTGATAAACTATTTTAATTCTCAGTGTTTCTGAGGTTTTGAATGATACGGGACTAAAAAGTACTACCTTTATTATTTTGCTCATTTCTTTATACATTTACATAACCAATAGTCAAAGAGGCTTTAGAAATCTGCTGACAGTTTTAAAGATCATGAAACTGTTGTCCGATTGATGGTGAGACTCCTATTGCACAGTCACCTTCTGGTCTCCTTCCCCCGTGCAAAGCAAGGGCTTGCTGGGACGTATCCATACATGTATGAATGGCTGTGCAGTTTATCTAAGAGCTTCTTGTTCCTTTCACTTTATGTGTAAATAGGCTTGCTTTCCAGGTCTACACGTAAAAAAATTAACTCAAACATCTGTTCTTACTGTGTTTACACACTTGTAGGGAGCCCGCACAGTGCAGTGGGTTATGCAGTGAGCTGCAAGCCTCAGGGTCAGCAGCTTGCAAACTCCAGCCACTGGGAGAGAGAGAGGAGGCTTGCTACTCCCGTAAGGAGTCACGGTCCTGGGAAGGGCAGTTTAACCCTGTCCTCCAGGGTCACGAGGGATCGGAATCAACCCCACTGCAATGAGTTTGGTTTTTTTGGTTAGAAGGGGAAGCAAACTCATTTACCAATTAACTCAATTTGTTAAATGAAAAAATAAATTAGACATATACTGAAAAACAAAAATTAGCTGTCAACTTTAAGACTTTTATAAAATCAAAAAGTGAGGCGATGAAAGCAGAAATTAGAATACAAACAGAAGACAATGAACTTGTTTATTCCTGTAGGGGCCCGGTGGCACAGTGGCTGTGAACTCCGCTGTCTGAGCCCACCAGCTGCGTCTGTGGAAATTATACTCTTGGAAATGTTGTGGGACTTCTCTGTATTAGGAAGACAATTGTTTGAGACTTCCAAATATCT